GAGATGGATGTGCCTGGTAAGCAAGGAGATCTAATTAGAACTCCTGAGCAGTGATGGATGCCTCCCTTTGCACTGTTGTGGGTTTGTTTGTTTTTTTGTTGGATCCTGAATTCTTCAGCACACAGGAGGCCTGGGGTGTGTTGTCAGGGGCTGGGCAGCAAGGCTGGTGTGTCAGGCGGAGAAGGGTTAAAGGTCCACTTCCCTCCTTCCTGAGTGGTTTGTGAAACTGTGGTTCAGTCCCTCCAGCGCTGAAAATTGAAAAGGTTTAATCTTGCCCCACCTTGTGGTGTAGAGAGTGCTCTGACAACCCCCAGTTCACGCTGGATTTGGGAGGGGCAAATGGGAGAGGCAGCCGAGGTAGCTGTTCTGTGGCATGGGAAGATGAGATCCTGCTGCAGGCCAAGAGCCCGGGGGCTGTAACAGGATGAAAAACTAAGTAACTTGGGCTTTGGCAAGATGGCAAGGTGCTGCCCTCAGGAGCAGCAAGCCTGCTGAGAAGTCAGTTGGTGTTAGTTGAGACTGCTGTGCAGTTTCTGGTGCTGCAACACTGAGTTTTGACCCTGGGACAAGTGTTGAAGTGTGTGTTCATTTTCCCTCCCTCAGACACTGATTCCCTGAGTTGTGACTCACTTGAGGCTGAAATATTGTGGCCATGAAAAGGGAGGTGGTGTTTCCATCTCCTTGGTCTGCAGCAAGTCCTGCCACACGCATAAGTCAGGAGGTGAGGTAGCTCAAGGCTGGCATTGCCCTTAAGGCCACCTTGGGGGCAAAGCATCTTCCCAGAACTTCTGGTAACACTGACTCTCCCCAGCATGGCTTAAGGGTGCAGGGCTCATGCTTGTGCCTTGTCCTGCAGCTGGTGGCAGCCCCAGCAGTTCAGGTGCCCTGTGGTCATGAGAGCACAGAGGAGGCCAGCATGCTGGAGAGCCAAGCTACTTTCCTGCAGAGTCTGGTAGGAGTCTTGTGGGTTATCGTGCATCCTTTTCTTAACATGTTCATGGCTGTGTAATTAAATACACATTTGCATGGATAATGAAGCAATCCCTGGCTAAAAGCCCTCCTCACTACCCACTGAAAAAAAGCAAGAAGAAAATAGAGCTGTATCCTCTCTTCTGTTTTAAAACAGGAGTATTCGTCTTCATAATTTGGGGCCCACAGGAAAGCTGGGCAGGGACTGTTGTGATGGGACAAGGGGGAATGGTCTTAAACTAGAGGAGAATAGATTTAGATGAGACATTAGGAAGAAATTCTTTACAGTGAGGGTGGTGGGTCACTTGAACAGGTTGCCCAGAGAGTTGGTGGAGGCCCCATCCCAGGAGACATTCAAGGTCAGGCTTGACAAAGCTCTGAGCAAACTGATCTAGTTAAAGATGTACCTGCTCACTGCAGGGGGGCTGGACTAGGTGACCTTTAGAGGTCCCTTCCAACTCAGATAATTCTGTGGTTCTGTGATCCAGCTTTGCTCCATGGATTTGGATACATGTGTGTGCACAGCCTCCCCAGCAGGTGATAAGTGGTGTAAGCAAAGTCCTGCCAGTCCTTTTTCTTTTCTCAATTGTATTTAATTCCATGGAGAAGCTGCACCTTGTGTTTCTCACTCAGTTTAGAGGTAACAAGTCAAAAAATATATTTGTGTGGCATGATCACATTTTGTGAGAACATGTTTAGGAGAACAGCTCAGTGTCTGTTCTAGCCACTTCTAGTCAAGTCGTGCCAAAAGTGTAGATTATTTTGGTTTTCCTCAGTGTCAACGTTGCTCCCTGCAGTGAAACGCAAACATCTTGTAACCTAAAAATATTCTTTAAGGAATAAAGGAATGATACAACTTCTGAAAAGATCAAGTGGTTTTTTTTTTTTTTCCCCTCGTGCTGTTACTTTTCTTTAGGTTACTTTGTGGTTTTTGATGCTGCATCCCATGGACCAAGTCCATGGTGGCAGGAGATCAAGGTTCCCACTGGTTTTTCTCTCCTTGCTCTGGGGAGGACTATTTTTTAACTGTTCATTGAATAAACCTCTCAAACCTGGGAGTTTGCTGATGGCCACCTCATGCAGGAAGAGGTTCTAGCAAGTAATATCTGGTTTCCTGGAATTTGTGTATTTGAAGTGATCAGCTTCTCTAAGCTTTCTAAGCTATTTTTGTAATGAATTGGGTGTATAAGTTAGGTAGTTACCACCCCCTCCCCTCTTTTTTTTTTTTTTTAATTTTTGCTTTTGTTTTTCTACTGGTTCCTTTTTTAGCTGATGACAAACATCTATTTGAATTGTAGCAGAATACCATGGCAATTCTATAATTTACATTGAGGAGCTGCTAAACATCTACTGGAGTCCTGCAAACCTGGGCAGGAACAACCAAATGCACCAGGACAGGCCAGGAGGTGATGTGCTAGAGAGCAGCTCGGTGGAGAAGGACCTTGGAGTCCTGGTAGACAAGTTCTCCATGGGACAGCAATGTGCCCTTGTGGCCAAGAAGGCCAATGGTATCTTGGGGTGCATCAGGAGGAGTGTGTCCAGCAGATGGAGGGAGGTTCTCCTTCCACTCTACTCCACCCTAGTGAGACCTCACTTGGAGTGTTGTGTCCAGTTCTGGGCTCCCCAGTTCAAGAGGAACAGGGATATACTGGAGAGAATCCAGCAGAGGCTACAAGGATGATGAAGGGACTGGAACACCTGCCTGAGGAGGAAAGGCTGAGAGACCTGGGGCTGTTTAGTCTAGAGAGGAGAAGACTGAGAGGGGACCTGATTAATGTCTATAAATATCTGTAAGGTGGATGTCAGGAATGGGCCACTCTCTGTTCAGTGGTGCCTGTGACAGGACGAGGGGCAATGGATTCAAACTGGAGCCCAGGAAGTTCCACCTCAATATGAGGAAGAACTTCTTTACTGTGAGGATTCCAGAGCCCTGAGACAGGCTGCCGAGAGAGGCTGTGGACCTTTCAAGACCTGTCTGGATGCCTGAATGATCTGCCTTAGTTGTGTGTAGTTTTTTGGTCCTGCTCTGGCAGAGGGTCCCTTCCAACCCCTAATATTCTGTGATTCTATAAAAGTTTCAGTTTGTTTTCAGGCTAACTTGTCTGGGAATTGATTTTCCTGCTGGTGCTTCGGCACAATGAATATAACCTTTATTGTCTATAGAACTTCTTGTGTTTTACTCTGGTACACTAGATAATTTTTTCTTACAGAACAAAAACCAGGCTTCCTATTCAGTAACTAGGTGTATGCCTAGTTAAGTTACCAGGCTGTAAGGAGGAGAGAAGGTTTGTGACATAAGTAACACTAAACTTTTGCTGTGTATATATCCTTAAATCCATTAGTATTAGGATTTTGAGTTTGAGATTAGGAGTTGGGGGACCAGAGCTGTACAGTAGTAGAGAAGGAGTCCTTCCCACTGCTGCAAGGTGATAGTTTTCACAGATTCACAGAATGGTTTGGGTTGGAAAGGACCTTAAAGATTATCAGGTTCCAACCCCCCTGCATGGGACACCTCCCACCAGCCCACGTTGCTCCAAGCCCCATTCAACACTGCCTGGGATGGGGCAGCCACAGCTTCCCTGGGCAACCTGGACCAGTCTCACCGCACTGAGTGAAGAATTTCTTCTTAATGTCTAACCTAAATCTCTTCTCTTTCATTTTAAAGCCATTACCCCTTGTCCTCTTACTCCATGCCCTTTCAGAAGTTCCTCCCTAGTTTGCTGTAGCCCCCAATTGTACTTTTTAACAAAAAACTTTTAAAACCCTTGAGAAAATTAGTAGCAAACTGGGAAAGGACTGTGCTGTGTGTGCAAAGCTGGACCTCCAATCCGTTCATCTTTTCCATGCTGGAGTCCTTAACTGCTCCTTGGCAGTAATTTTGCCTTCAAGCATGAATTGCAAACTGTTGGTAACTGCCATCCTAACGACTGCTTTGGTTTTGTCTCCTCCCCAGGACGAAGGATGCCGACACGAATATGATGTGAGGCCTGTCCTGCGCTCACCACAGCGCCTGGGTGCTACTGCCGGACAGTTGGGGACAGGAACTTGCCTCTCACCAAGCCAATTCCTCGGACAAAATGAAGCCAAGGAGGAGCTTTCCACCACGCTGGAGCTGCAGTGACTGCTGCCCAATTTAAAACCCAGGTCAGACTGTGCCCTGGCTGCCTGGCGAGATGAAAGAAGTGGTGTTGTGGTCACCCGAGGAGGTGACAAACTGGCTGATGGAAAACGCCGTTCCGGAGTATTGTGAGCCGCTGAAGGGCTTCACCGGGCGGGATCTGATCAACCTCACGGAGGAGGATTTTAAGAAGACTCCTCTCTCCCGGGTGTCTTCTGACAGTGGCCAGAGGCTCTTGCACATGATTGAAACTTTGAAAATGGCTGACCACATGGAGGCTCACAAAAACGGGCACGTCAATGGGCACGTCCGCGTCGGTGGGAGCAAAACCCCCCGTGAGAACGGCTTCGGCAGCAAACTGAAGCTGAACGGAACGCCTAATGGGTATAAGAAGGAGATGATAAAGATCCCCATGCCAGAGCCAGAGCGCTCACAGTACCCTATGGAGTGGGGCAAGACTTTCCTGGCTTTTATTTATGCACTTTTTTGTTTCGTCTTTACCACAGTGACTATATCAGTCGTTCACGAACGAGTGCCTCCCAAGGAGGTGCAGCCTCCCCTACCAGATGCATTTTTTGATCGCTTTGATCGGGTGCAATGGGCTTTTTCTATCTGTGAAATCAACGGCATGATCCTTGTAGGACTGTGGTTTGTTCAGTGGCTGCTCTTAAAATACAAGTAAGTGAAACCATTGCAAAAGTGGGTGGCAGTGCTTGGACGTCAATCTACTGGCTGGTTTGCTGGTTGCAAAGAAAATTAAGATCTTTTGGGATCCTTCTGATTTTGGTTTCCCCAGCTGAAGAAGGTATTGTAGGCAAAACTGCAGCTTGTGTGGGCTGCTTGTGCAAAAGAGAGATGCTTGAGTCCACCTTCTACCAAAGAAAAACAGCCCTGGTTGTCTTCACCTGCACAATTAACTGGAATCCTTTCTGTGTGTGAAAAGCCATGAGTTGGATGGTCTTAACTCAGTTGGTTGTCCTGTCTGTTGAGAGGGAGCACAGGTCATCCTGGTGCCAACATGGAGCTGATTTAGTGTCTCTCTGGGTTGCCTGGTCTAAAGACCTACCCTCAGGTTGTGATGCTTTTGAACAGAACCAACAGGTGGTGGTTTAGTCCGTGCACTCAGTGCTCTATGAAAAAGGGTTCGTTTTCTGCTCAGTGTTAGACGAGACAGATCATGTCAAACACAGTCTGTCAAAAGCTGACCATAACATCTGCAAAGCATGGATATGCAAGGAATTTGCAAGATCTCAGTGGTTGTCTGCCTCCTTGCTCATGCTGGTCAGAATGGCAAGGGTGTATTTGCATGCCACGGGAAGTAACCTACCACTTCCCCTCTCCACAGTGGGTTGGGTGCAAATGCTTCATTTAGAGCACTTATACTGTTGTAAATCCCCCACCTTTGGCTGCCTCACCACCAGTGCCAGAAGGGTTTGAGTTGTGCTGCCATGGCTGGGAATGAAGTGTTCAAAGTGGCTCTACACACAGGAGGTGTCAGATCACCTCTCCTTTCAGAAACCAGGCACAGGCATGTCCCCACAGCTGTCCAGCCCAAAGAGGGTCTCCTCTGCTAACACAGCATCTCATTCTTTACCTCTGACTCTTTTTTTTTGTGACTCCTATGTAGGAAGCTGAGGAAGGAAAATAATTTGGGCCCCTTTGTGTGAAATACAAGATCCTTCAGTTCACAGGACTCGTAATGACCTTAGAATGAAAGATTTCCCTTTTCAAAAGAAATAAACCAAGAGACCGTTGGATCACTTGTCCTTATGGTGGAGCAAAGCATTAAAATTTAAAGTAAGGGTGTGATTCACCAGCTTTATGAGGTTCAAGTTCTTGCAAAGAGTAAGTTGCAAAGCTGGGGCAGGATATCCTCGTGCAGTACAGCTGTGAATTTCCATGGGAATGTGACAAATATTTCAGTAGCCCCCAAAACCAAGATGATGGTTTATTCATCTTTGCTGCTGCTCGATGCTACTTAATGTGTTTTACCAGGTGGTATTTTAAAATCCTTGTGCACTTTGACAGAGGTGGCATTCCTTAAAGGAATGTTTCTAGAACAGTTAATTTATTGTTCTTCTAGGACCATAAAAAGCTGTGGAGTTGCCTTATTTATTACGTACAAATATGTACAGGAGGAAGGATTTACACCAGCATGGCCTCTTGTTTTGTTTCTGGCTCTGGTGGAAGTGCGCAAGAGTCTAGAGATTAAGACCAACAGAATCCCTAAGTTCCTTCGAGATTTCAAAGCAGTGAGACATGGGTTGGTATGGGTGATGGAGGTGGAGATTCCCCCACCCTGTTTGTTTTGAGGTGTTTGTTTTTAACTTGTTTTTAAGAGAGCTCTTTCTGGTGTTAGGGGAGGATGTCAGGGAGTCACAGAGCTTTCTTTTCGCAGAACCAGCCCTAGAATAGCTGGTCAGTGTGTTGTACTGGTCACCTGATGATTCAGAGACCAAAGGTTGTCTTCCATGTCAATGAACAGAGGTATCAAAGTCCAAGAGATCCAAGCTCTTGGTAAGCAGCAGAAAGGGAAGAGCAGGAAAGGTGCCCGTGGGAACACTGTGAGTGAGGTGGCTCCATCTGGAGGACCTCGTTCTCATGGGTTAGGATGGTGAACCGCTGAGTGATGTAAAAAGCTGAATCACTTCTGTGGTCTGGGTTGTCACCTTCCTTTGAAACCTAATTAAAAAATAATGAGAGGGAAATTAAGCCTCACTTTCCTGACCTCTGATGGTGTCAGGGCCACTGCCACACTGCGTTTGAGATCTGAAGACTGGAAGGCAGATGGTTGCTGGGCAGGATGAGACATGGTTCCTCACCTACTCAGATGATAGAGATACCACTCACAGATGTCTCCAAGTGCAAGTTTAGGGTCACTGGTGAACCAGCAGCATTGTTACCTGGGAGCTGAACTGCAGCCAGTGACTAGGTTGAACCTTTGACAGAAAGGGAGAGCTTCATAGTTTTGGACTTCTGGAAACTTTTCTTTACCAAGCAGTGAAATTCCTATTTCTTATCCTACCAGATTCTTCATTTGCCAATAACCTGATTGAATACAAGCTGAGCCTGCTGTTCTCCCAAGTCATGAAGGACAATAGGCATGTGTCATTCATCATACTGATCACTCAGATCTTCCTCGTTTAGGCCAGGGATTGCATGATAATGTTGAATAGCACCTACGTGTCTTCATCGGACTGCAAAGTTGGGGCCAAAACCAAAGAGAATGGTGTGTCTGTCCAACTAACAACAGTGCAGGGTTTCCCTTGGCCACTGGTAATGCTTTATTGCCCAAAGGTTAATTTTACCTGCTGGTAGAGAATGGAGTTGCTGATTGGCTTCAGGACAAGGCACTAGATTTGGTGTGAGGACATCAGGGACAGCTTTTTTTGAACATCCAGAACACTCTCCATAGCATTGGGTTAGTTTCTCATCAGTAAGCAGGGGCAGGGCGGGTGTGCAGGTGTTAGCTGGGGACTCCAGGGTGGACAAGTCTCATTCCACAAATACCACAGAGATCGTGAGGAGTCCAGACAAGGCCGAACTAACTTATCTAGGAAGCATTCCCAGATGTTTTGGGAGAAGAATAGTGCTGGTGTTTGGCCATGCTTGACATCTGATTCAGCTGGCACACTCATGGGACTGAAACAGCAGCATGCCCATGTCTGCTGAGGTCTGGGGAGATGTCATAAAAGTTGTCTTGGCCAGTGGTAAGCTTCAAGTTTGTTCTTGCTACCTGGCTCATCATCACACACAGTCTTTTGAGAAGGGAAAATATGAGGCTTTACTTTTTTTATGTTCTGGTACACAGCACTTGGACGAAGCTTTTCCTAAGCTAAAAGATGCCAAATCTGGCTAAATCAAGGACGTTCCTAGGTAATTTTAATTTTAAAAAAACTTCCAGTGCTTGTTACAACACTGCTGCTTCTTCTCTCTTGAAATACGGTGCTGCTTGGGCTCTCATTCCCAATCCTCTTTTTGTGCCAGGTTATAAAGGAAAGCAAGTTCATGTCTGGTTATAAAACCAGGCACAAGTGTGAGATCTTCATTGGATCACAATGAGGGAAAAAATTATCCATATAAAATGTAGAGGAAAACCACTGCCCCCAGTTCAGTCCATGGAGCTGCCTGAATGAATAACTTTTCACTTGCAGCTCTGTCCATGTTTACACCAGGAAGGTGAAGGAAAACCAGGACACCCTGTGTTTCAGTAGCAGTGAGTGCCTGAGTGCAAAATGCATTTGCATTGTGCTGGTTAAAGCTTTTCTGATAAATTAAGACATTCAAGTTGTTACTGATCTGGCTCTGCAAAGTCCTGCCCCTCCCAGAGTGGAGCCCTGCAGTTTAATAACTGCCACCAGATAGTAAAAACAAAAAGATGGCCAAGTTTGAGCTTTGAAAGAGCTCAGCTTGGTAGAATTACTAGTTTTTTAAAAGGGAGCAAATAAAATTGCTGGAGTTGGGAAGGACCTCTAGAGATCTTCTAGTCAAACTCTCCCAGTGAAGCAGGATCACCCAGAGCCCTTCACACAGGACTGTATCCAGGTGGGTCTTGAATATCTCAGAGAAGGAGACTCCAAAACCTCCCTTGGCAGCCTGCCCCAGGGCTCTGTCACCCTCACTGTAATGAAGTTTTTACTCGTATTTCAGCAGCACTTCCCATGTTCCAGCTTGTGCCCATTGCCCCTCGTCCTGTCCCTGGGCACTACTGAGCAGAGTGGGGCTCCATCCCCCCTGCACCCACCCTGAGATACGTGTAGGCATTGATAAGGTCTCCCCTCAGCCTTCTCCTCTCCAGGCTGAACAGCCCCAGCTCTCTCAGCCTTTCCTCATCAGGGAGATGCTTCAATCCCCCAACCATCTTCATCACCCTCCTCTGGACTCTCTCCAGCAGTTCCCTGTTTCTCTTCAACTGTGGAGCCCAGAACTGGATGCAGAATTCCAGCTGTGGCCTCACCAGGGCAGAGCAGAGGGGGAGAATGACCTCCCTGGACCTACTGGCCACTCTTCTTTATGCACCCTAGGATTCCATTGGCCTTCCTGGCAGCAAGGGCACACTGCTGGTACATGGATCATTTCCTGTCTTATCAGGATTCCAAGATCCTTTTCCTACAAACTGCCTTCCAGCAGATCCACCCCTCACCTTGAGCTGCTTGGGGTTCTTTCTTCCCAGGTGCAGGACCCTACACTTGCCCTTGTTGAACCTCATGAGGTTCTTCTCTGCCCAATTCTCCAGCCTGTCCAGATGCTGTTCAGGAAAGATGTGTTCTCTCTCCTTTGGGTCATACAAGCTCTTTCTTCTCAAGCAGCCCTTTGTAATTCCTAAATGTGTGTGTCAGCTGAAATAAACTTACTCCTTTTCATCTCATAATGAAAATATTGTGCCTCCACCCCCTGCCTAGAGTGGGAAATTAGGGATCGCTGAAAGCTAACAGAGGGATGAGGGCCTGAAATCCCGTGTAATGTCTCCAACACTAGATCTGCACAGGCTTTTGTATTCTAATCCTGATTATTTCCTGTAATCACCTTCCTGGATGCTGTTAGTTAACTGAGTTGCTTTTGTGTTCCTGACCTATCAAGTGTGGGAACATTTGTAAAGTCATTCAGTATTCTCAGGTGTAAGCTGATCATGTGATGGGTTTCAAAAGCCCCAAGAAGAGAACAGTTGGTAGTTTATTTACCTTTGTGTATTTTATTTGCCTTGAGTTGATCTCCTTGGGTGTTTTCCTATTTTTATTTTTATCTTCCAGGTCTATAATTAGCAGAAGGTTTTTCTGTATCGTTGGCACACTGTACCTGTACCGCTGTATCACCATGTATGTGACTACACTCCCAGTACCTGGCATGCATTTCAAGTGCTCTCCAAAGGTAAACTTCTGCTGATTGCGCTTTCTGAGTTTAGTCTGTATGTTCTCCCCCTGTTCTGCTGTCTACCAAAGTTGTTGTTTCTCAATAATTAATTGCTCATTTGAAAATACCAGCTTGGCATGGTGGAGATGTCCTGCAGCTCATTAGCTTCTCTCTGGGTGAGGGTGTTGACAGTTGCTTTGGGGCACTGTAGCCCTTCCCACCCTTTCCCAAGTGCTAATCTAGGCAATTTCTGTAGCATTTTCAACTGATTTGCACAATCAGCATTTTTCTGTCTCCACCAAAGCAGACAAAGGTGTGGGAGCTGCAGAAGTGCCACGTGTGACTCATTTATTTCTAAACATTTGAGTGCATCAAATCCAGCTATGGTTTGTAGTTGAAAATGGCCCCAAGTTGATTTTTCCAAGACTGGTGAAACTTTCCTTTGCAACCCTTCATCCCTCTGTGCAATTTTGCAGTTGTGTTAGTAGAAGGTCTTGCCACCTCCTCTCCAATCCAGCAATTGTGAAACGTGTGGCTGGAAACCAAGCTATGGAGACAGGGGTGCTTGACCAAGACCCTTGTATTCAGCCTTGAAAGGTAATTCGTGGAGGTGGGACGGGGATGGTGGTGTTGCACCTATCTCACGTCACACCAGGATTGGTGTAAGCCTGGTCCTTAGTGCAAGGTGCTGTTTGTGGGAGTGAAATGCAGACTAAGACAGACTGGACATTGTGGTGAGGAACAAGGTGCATCTACAATCAGGGAATGGTTTGGGTTGGAAGGGGCCTTAAAGACCATCTAGTTCTGACCCCCTGCATGGGCAGGGACACCTTCCTCCAGGCCAGGCTGCTCCATCCAACCTGCCCTTCAACACTTCCAGGGATGGGGCAGCCACAGCTTCCCTGGGCAGCCTGGGCCAGGGTGTCACCACCCTCATGGTGAAGAGTTTCCTCCTAATGTCTAATCTAAATTTCCCCTCTTCCCGTTTAAAACCATTCCCCCTTGTCTTATGTCCATGTCTATATATCCATTAGACACACCTGCTCTTTCTCCATAGTGGTCCATCTCCATGCCCCACCTGAGGTTTTATCTGCTGCAGCTCTAATTAAGCAGGAGAAGGGGTGTAAAAAAAGTAATGTTTGTAAAATATCTACTACATGCACAGTCCAACAGCTTTGTGTGCACAGCCATGAGCTAGGTTGCAGGTAGTAAAATCCTGATGGGATTTGGTAGACGTATTTTGATGAGGATTGCTGGTCCATACAAAGCCCAGACACTTTGGTTCCTCAGGGAAATGAAGCCAGCGAGGGTGCTGCACCAGCTGTTGGACAAGGCAGAGTGTGTGCCAAGCCATGGGTGGCTTCTGGAGGGACTGAGATCTTCTGTGGAGAGGAGCCAACATTGTGTTTGATCAGTCAGCACAAGTATTTCTGGGCTGAAAGGAGGAAATCTGCCAGGTTGGGGCATTTGCAGCATTGGCGAATCCGTCGCATTGCTCAAGTAAAGACAAGCCCATGCTGGGCTCCTCTGCTGCCCTGGTAAGACTAAGGATTAGCTGGGCTTTCATGGAAGCTGTAAATACACTGCTGGGGAAAAAATTAACCTCTCAACACCTTCTTGAGTTAGATATGATTGTGAAGATTGGGCTTTGGGGCTCCTTTTAATGGTTTGCAAAGATCTGTAAGCAGGAAACATTTAATTGAGGCAAAGACCCGGCTTAAATATGTCAGAAGTTAATAATTTCCACTTCTTAAAGCAAGACTGAACTTTAAAATGAAAGAAAAACACATCTATGTTGGCCAGCCAGGTGCATCTGTGTTTCCTTCTGAATGTTGAATGGTTACCATGGATTTTAAACCCTCATAAGATGAGGTAAGGCTGCAGCTCACATGTAGTTATGTGCATTGACCGCGTTGGTCCTTTGAATTCAGGTGGTTCGTGCTTCCCACTGGGTCCTGGAGGTTCTGAGTACGTCCTCTTGGTGCTTGTCTCACCACTTACATTTCCTTTGGGGATTTGTTTAGCACTTGGGCTTGTTTTAGATCTGGGAGCAGCAAAAGGAAACTCTTGGGACAGTGCCAGCTGCCCTTTGGTCACCTTGCGGGGGGAGGAAGCCCTCACCAGAAGGACTTGGTTTGCTTCCATTTGGCTTTCCTAAGGCAAATGGAAGTTGTTTTGTTGGGTTTTTTCTTTTTCAGAAATACCCTCTGAGAGCCCATGGTGGGTTGGAGGTGGGTCAGAGCCAAACCATCAGGCATGGAGGAAGGTCCCTGATGATGGATGGTGCATGTTAAAGCTGGCAGAGAAGTTTGGCACCACACTCTGACAATCACCATGGATGTTTCTTTGGAAACATGAAGTGGAAATAAAGGACTTTTGAAGCCTTTCCAAGGCGGGCAGTGGAAGACCATGGAGTTTGGAGCTAGATAGTTTGTTCTGTGCCTTGAATCTGGGTTTGGGCAGCTGGCCATGGAGCTTGGGCACTTCATCCTCTTTTCTATTGGATTATCTTCTGTAGAGCCTGTGTGAATTAAATGAAGCTTGATTTATTGTGGAGTGCATTGCCTCTGGAACAGAAGGATAACCAGCTGTTCAGAGGAGATGACAACATCCCAGGCATAGCTGGAAGGATTTGTCATTCCTTTTTATTGGTGAAGCTGGATTTTGGAGACTGTTAGAGAAGTCATAGAGTTTCCGAGGGTCGTTATTCTGAACTTCAGTGTATAGATGTGAGGTTTTTATAGAAATGTTCCCATTATGTATCCCAGTAAATATGGTGTAAGCATTAGTCTGTTTTTCCTCTAGAAATGTGCTGGTGGCTGTTGGGGAAGGCTCTGGGTGACCTGGTGGCTCTTGTGTCCCAAAGCAAAAAGAGAGAACAGAAGGTTGCTGGCTAAACAGCACTGCTAAGAACTCAGGTCAAGGCTGATGTTTCACTGAGCTTTTTATGTGTTTTACTCTCCCACCAGCTTTTTGGAGACTGGGAATCTCACCTGCGAAGGATAATGAAGTTGATTGCTGGGGGAGGATTGTCCATCACAGGGTCCCACAACATGTGTGGTGACTACCTGTACAGCGGGCACACCGTCATCCTCACGCTCACCTACTTGTTTATCAGAGAGTGTAAGTCCCTGCCTGGGGAGTCCCCTGGGGGGTCAGTCCTTCCTCAGTTCCTGATCAGGAAACACCATTAAAGTAAAAAATGCTCCCTTCTTTAATTCATTAAAAGAATAGAACTTCAGAGACATGGGGCTTACTGAAAAAGAAGACTTTGGAGACAAAATGAAACACTTTTACCATGTAGGTGTCTAAATTAAGCATTTTATTTTTTAAAAAAAGTTTGTTTAGAATTTAATTGATACCTTTATTACACCCTGACAACAAAGGGTATTTCTACTGTGTCTCCTAATCTAGAGACAGATGGATGTGATGCTGAGTGCTGGGTTGCTCATTTTGTAACAGTCAGGCCTTAATATATAGAATCATCAAATCCCGGACTGATTTGGGTTGGAAGGGACCTTAAAGATCATCTAGTCCCAACCCCCTGCATGAGCAGGGACACCTCCCACCAGCCCAGGTTGCTCCAAGCCCCATCCAACCTGCCCTTCAACACTGCTAGGGATGGGGCAGCCACAGCTTCTCTGGGCAACCTGGGCCAGGGTCTCACCACCCTCATAGGAAGCATTTTCCTCCTTGTCCCATCCCTCCCTGCCCTTGTCCCAAGTCCCTCCCCAGCTTTCCTGAAGCCCCTTCAGGCACTGGAAGGTGCTCTCAGGTCTCCCTGAAGCCTTCTCTTCTCCAGGCTGAACACCCCAACTCTCCCAGCCTGGCTCCAGAGCAGAGCTGCTCCATCTGTCAGATCACCTTCGTGGCCCCGTGCATTTATCTTTTCCAAAAGGCCAGAGGAATGGGTTGCCATCTATGTAGAATGAATATTGAAATACAAATGAGTGAATTTTACTGACCAGGGCAAACTCTATCATTATGGGCTTGTTTTCCAAACATTTGCCAACCTTTCTGTTTTCCAAGGATCTGATTAACTCTGAGTACAATTATAAGTTACACTTTTGAAATAATACCTGATTGTGCTTTTTTCCAGATTCCCCTCGGCGACTCTGGTGGTATCATTGGTTTTGCTGGGCACTCAGCATGGTTGGGATGTTCTGCATCCTCCTTGCTCATGACCACTACACTGTGGACGTGGTGGTGGCTTACTACATCACTACAAGACTTTTCTGGTGGTACCACACAATGGCCAACCAGCAAGTGAGTTTCTCCCAGTCTTTGGACCCATGTGGCTTCACTCACTGTAGTGTGGTGGTGGAAAAACATCCAGGCTTTGCCTTGAGCCTTCCTGCAGGAGTAGCAGTGGAGTGACCTATGTCTTGTGGACCCTCACTCTCTTCCCCCCTCACATGGATTTGCAGGAGAGAAAAAGGTGCCAAGGGTTGGGTTCAGCATGTCTTGACCACACATCTAGAAGGTTTGCCCACGCTGCTTCCACTGTTTAACCTCAATTTTTGAAGTCCACCTGATTTTCGGCCAATTGTCCATTTTTGTACTAGTGGAACAAGCCATTTAGTTGTGGATTTTTTTGCCTTGTTGGGTTTTTGTTGTTGTTGTTGAAGTCAGCTGGGTTTTCATTGTATTCTGTGGCTTGTGTAGATGAGGCCTCACTAAAGCTGAACCAGTTTTTCAAAGTGTTTCTAAGTTCCAAGATATGTTCCCAAACCAAGGGAAATGTTTTCTGTTTGGAGGATAGATTAGAGTAGAGAAGAGGCTGCTCCTGTCCTAAGGTCTCTGTCTGGGGTGGTGTGAAAAATGGGGTGGGGAAAATCCTGGGAAGAAGGAGTTGCTGAGGAGGAAAGGCAGCACAGGATGGGCAGTGGCCAAGCATGGTTAGTAACACTCAACCAGAGAGCAGCAGTAAAGGCTTCAGAGGTCAAATGAAGTCTAAATGACGTCTTGTATTTCTTGGACTTGGTGGAGTTGGGTTGGTAGATGGGTTATGGTTGCACTTGATGATCTTAAAGGTCTTTTCCAACCAGAACACCTCGGTGATTCTGAGATTCTTACTTTCCTACCAGTGGGTTAGATCAATAACGGATGAGTTGACATTGCTGAGGTATCTCCAAAGTAGTATAAGAGGTGTTTTGGATTGGGTTTTTGTCATTCCCAAAGGAGAGACTGATCTTTTTGGGCCACTCCTCCTGTTCCTCTGGGTCCATTGAACAGCCAAGGACTGGGAAACGAGGGTGAGTCTCACTCAGGAGCAGCATTTGGTGTGTGCAAGGGAGGCTGTGGAAAAGCAGCTTGTCTCCTCATCTTGGTCCATGCAGACCTGTTTGGGAGGTGTTTCTGGATCCTGGGAGGGGTTTCTGGATCCTGGGAGATGTGGGGAAGCAGCTGTGAGCAAGGCACCCCAGCAGCCAGAGCCGTGCCGGGAGGCTGTGCCCTGCTCCCCTGTTAATTCTCTCCCGTTTCTGATGATCTTTCCGCAGGTGCTAAAAGAAGCTTCCCAAACAAACCTCCTTGCAAGGGTCTGGTGGTACAAGCCCTTCCAGTACTTTGAAAAGAATGTCCAAGGAATCGTACCTCGTTCCTACTACTGGCCCTTCCCCTGGCCGGTGCTGCACCGGGGCAGGCAGGTGAAGTACAGCCGCCTGCTGGGTGACACATAGCGGTGTGTCCGGGGACAGCGAGGGGAAAGGACCTGTCCCAAGTGCTAAGAACTCCAGAAGAGAAGATGCCATAAAAAAAAACCAACCCACAAAACCAACCCCTCCTTAACCCTTCCTCTTAACAGCTCCCTGAATTAACCTGTTCAGTTACCTGGTAAGCACTGTGATCTTTTTTTCCTCTCCAAAGGACCCGCGTTGGACAAGAATAAAGAGAGTGGAACTTGTCATGCACTGTTACACATTTCTGGGTAGTAGATTTGGGATTTGCAGTCACCTCATCCCCATGTTCCTTTCTATTTGATGCGACAGCAGAAATGAAAACTTTTCTAATCCTAAGTTCCTGGTCTTTCCAGTCACATCTGGGAATAAAGCCTATTATTTTCTTGGGAAAACATACTTTTCGTATCTCTTGCCCCAAAGATTGGGCTCTAAGCCATTTTCTAGCAAATGACTCTATGAAGGTTTCTAAATACCTGCCTTGGGTAACAGTGGAGAAATCTTTCTACCTGTTGCACCCCGTGACGAGTGAGAGACACAGGAAGGTTTTGGTGATCTTGATTTTTGTAGAATCTGCAGTGACTGTGTCCAAAAAAGTGCAAAAAAAACATTAAAAAAAAAAGAAGAAAAAAAAAAGTTGTAAAGTGATTTTCTAAGTATTTCCTAACTTTATTTTTCAAGATGTGTATGAAAATTAAATTTAAAAAAAAAAGAGAGAGATTTTTACATGTCAGAGAATAGAGAGTTAAAATTTAAAGAAAAAGCTTCTTGGGAGAGAGAGATTTGTCTATGTTTCTAGTGCCTTTCTTGTCTTGATTGTATGGTCAGTAGGCAGTCTTAAATGTTTTTATTTAAAATAAAGTATTCCATGAAAGCAGAATTATATATACTGTATAATTACTAATTTTTTGCATTTATAGCTAAATTAAACTGGAAATTTGCTTATAATGTGGAAATTGCCAGGGGGGGAACCAGATGAAAGGGTCCAACCTTGCTCACACATTGTGGGCGGGTCACACTAAAAGGTTTCACTTTATTCTCTACTTGGTAGTTGTGTTTTAAAAAGAAAAATGGCCATGAATTCCTGTTTGTTGTTTTTTTTTTTTTAAAGAGTTTTACAGATGATCATGGAGTGAACTACAAATGGTTTCTCCATCCCCTATGGAAATGTTGTTGGAGAACAACAAAGATAAACCTATTTCTTGCAACTGTTTGTGCAGAAGCTGCATGTGACTCTTAAATTTCACACTGTTATGTTTGGGGAGGTGTTCTCTCCCAAACGTGCCAATGTGCAGAGCAAAAGAGTTTGTTGTTTTTTTGTTTGGGTTTTGTTTTTTTTTCCTAAGAATGAAGAGAAAAAATATATATAAATATATATATATACATTCTGTATTTTACGTGAAGCAGAGTTTGTAGGGCTTTTATTTTATTTTATTTTTTTTGGTGTATTCACCAGGTGGTATTTGTATTTGTAAAAATGACGACGGTGAAGGAAAATAAAAAGGCTTTGGAAAAACATGTAGTTTCCTTTTATCTTCTTGAGGGTCAGGAATGGAGAGCTGGGTTTGTCCTTTTGCAACCCTTGCTTTTCAGTCGCTGTGTAAATTATTGCACTTGTAGGCCAGAGGAATTTGGACCGGATGGAAACTGCATTAATTTTGAAGGGCTGCTTGAGGTGGGCAAACCTAGTGCCTTAAAGAAATGCTATGCAATAGATGCTGGGCTTTGGGAGCTGGGGGAGGCTGGAAGAAGCTTTCCTGGGAGCCATCACCAGGCCTTGAAACATCTACCACCAAAACCTGCTGGGATGGAGCACGTTGGAGGCTACAGAGCCCCAGGATCTGTCAGGCCTGGCACTTGAACAAGGCAAAAAGTGAGATGTCTGTGAGTGACCTGGTGGTGACAGGGTCGTTCCTTCTGCTTGCTGGGGATGGTTTGGCTCTACTTCTCTGCCCTGTTCCTCAGCCTTGGCCAAGAACTGCTGTGCTGAACTGATGGGGTGTTACTTCTGCCTGGCTGTTGCTTCGGGTGCTGAATCAGACCAACTTCTTACCAGTTCCCTTTCTCCCTATGCAAGGAGGGGATTTCTTTGTATCTTGACAAAACTTTGCAGAACTGGCTTTGAGTTCTGGGCTCTGACTTCCATTCACAGTGGTCTTGTTGCAACTTTGGGGTTGAAAATCAATTTTCAGAAGAAAAGCTCCTCCCCAGATGATTGCTGGAGAGAACTCACCCTCCCAGAGATCAATGACCAAGTAGATTTTTCAAGGCCTGGCACATCATGCACATCAGAACCATCACTGACATCAGGAAATGTATGGATTTCTGCACATGCCATTAAATTGAGATCTGCTGAATCCTGCTTTGTAGTGTCTGACTTTACTGCATCGTGCTCAGCGTGGTTTCCTCTAGGTCCACAGCAGGGCTGTGCTTGGGTGGAGCTTTGCTGCCTTCACCAATAACCCTACGGGGCAAGTTGCTCTGGCTGCTGCCTGGTGTGTAGGTGGGAATCAAGGGAGCAGGTCTGGGACAACTGTCGTGCACTGGAGGCGACTCTGGATTGTGGCACTTGCTCTGCCTTCTCCTCCTGCCCCTTGAGGGTCTGCTCAGCAGCTTTTTGAGGTGGGTGGTGGCTTAAGGTGGTGCTAAGGCTGTGGGGATCGGGGTATGGAGTGTGACTGCTCATCATTTAGCATTCCCAGATTGCCCACCATCAAGGAACTGGCTGCATGTCCCCCAGGCCACTCAGGTGTGGCACGTCTGTGGTGATCCTTCTGCCTTAGCTTTCTGGAGAAGCATAGCCAACGGAGGTGGTGGTGGCCTCCTGAAGACTTCTAGCACCCACGTTTGCCCCTTGAACTTTGTATTCCTGGGGTGGGATCCTTGGGCAGCTTCCAGGGGGCAATTCTGTTCCAACAGCAAGTGTGTTGTCCCCTCACCCTGGGACACTGGCACATGAGTGCCTTGGGCGGTGAAGCTTGTGCTGCTTGGGCACACATGGACCTTTACCACCAGTGAGGTGGGGGCAGCAAATTTGTGCCAGTGTGGAGCAAGGAAGTCAGTGTAAGAGATGCAGTCTGGTGGTGTCCTACCTTGGTTGGAGAGCTAAGTGTTCTTCCCACCTTGTGCCAGTAAAACCATCTGCTCTTGACTTGAACATTGAGTACTTGAGTCCTAGGGCACCTGTGGGAAGGCAGATTTGAAGGCAGAACCACCTGGTTCGAGTGTGGAAGGGGGTAAACCTTAACACCTTGTCCAGTGCAGGTTCCAGGTGGCTAAAATTGAAAAGAGGGATCTCCACCAGCTAAGGCTGGCAGTGGGCAGCTGCAGATGGAGAAGGACCTGGCAATTGGTGAAGAGTTCTGGAAATGGAAAGCAAAATCTTTCTGGGAGGGTGGACTTCAATGAGTGCCCGTGTTGCTAAGATGCATCTTGGTTTAACCTTTGGTCCTTACAGGTGGAGAAAGCTTGAAGAGGTCCAGGGGTGGAGGTTTTTGAGGAGCACAGGCTGAGCAAGGGCAATGATCTTGTTGCTTTTCTGTACTCTAAAAAGAGCCACTAACCCCCATCAATGCCCCCCCACCTCCTGCTGCTATTCAGGGGACAGCTCAGTTGTCCCTTTGGCTTCTCCTTCAGGTGCTGGGTAATCACAGAATCACAGGATATTGGGTTGGAAGGGACCCCAGGAGATCATCAACTCCAACCCCCCTGACAGAGCAGGACCAAATCTAGGGCAGGTCACTCAGAAAGGCATCCAGACAGGTCTGGAAAGTCTCCAGAGAAGGAGACTCCACAGCCTCTCTGGGCAGCCTGTCCCAGGGCTCTGTCACCCTCACAGCAAAGAAGTTTCTCCTTATGTTGAGGTGGAACTTCCCGTGCTGGAGTTTGAATCCATTGGCCATTGTCTTGTCACAGGGCACAAGTGAAAAACCAGAGCACTCCCTGAAGACACCCTGCCTTGAGCTCTGTTTGGGCAACTCTCCCCATCTCACTCATCCAGTGGCAGCAGCAAATGTTCTCTGGAAGGATTTGTGGCTTCTGTTTGACCATTTGCTCAGCCAGAGCCAGTCCACCAAAGCAGAGATGAATCCTCCATGTGGTGCAGTGTGGTGTTCCCAGGCACCTCCCCTGTAACCCACCAGCTCCACACGTTTTCCATGTATAAAATGGACATGGATTTTCCAGTCCTGGCACATCCCCTGAAGGTCATTTCTGCTCCTGGTGACCCACGTGCTCTGTAGGCTTGGCAGGGAATGGTGGAGAGCACCAGGATTTGGACACGACACCCTCTACATCCATCCTGCAACCTTGTTTACACAAACAAGCACATCTGGAGCAAGGTTTGGGAGCAGCCAAGAATCCCCCGACTTGCCTGCAGGTGGTTTTCAGCAGCAGCAGCTCAAGGGCTGGTGGTTGCTGTTGCCAGGCACGTAGGCATGGGAGGTGATAAAGCAGCCCAGCTTGTTCATTTTCTGCTCAATTTTTGCCCACAAAAAACCATGAGGAACTGGCTTAGGTGGGATCTGCCCAATTCTGCATGGCTTTTTTTGATCTCCAGGCCTGGAGGATGAAAAGTGTTTCCTAGTGCCAGGGCATCTCTGCTTTACATGTGCCTCTTGGCTCTTCCTCAGGTGGTGCTTTCCCTGGGCTCTGATGCATCCCAGGGAAGGGCCCATGGGGCTGCAAGTGCTGGAGCAAAACATCCATCCAGGGCCTGCAGATGAGGGCTGGTTTGGGTGCCAGTGGGGATGTTGGTGTCACCACTGTGTTTTTTTTCCAACAAGTGCTTCCAAATGCATCCAGCTGCCTTGTGACCATCCTGCAGGTTGGTGAAAAATCCCAGAATCCCAGACTGGTTTGGCTTGGAAGGGACCTTAAAGACCATTCAGTTCCAACCTCCCTGCATGGGCAGGGACACCTCCCACCAGCCCAGGCTGCTCCAAGCCCCGTCCAACCTGCCCTTCAACACTGCCAGGAATGGGGCAGCCACAGCTTCCCTTGGCAACCTGTTTCAGTGTCTCACCACCCACATGGCAAAGAATTTCCTCCTCATGTCTCACCTAAATCTCCCCTCTTGCAGCTTGAAACCATTCCCACTCACCCTGTCACTCCCAGCCCTGGTATTGAAGGCAGAAGTTGCTCCAGAAGGAAATCACTGCACGTCCCAGATGTTGGGCAACCAAGGAGAGAGCTGGAGAGAGCTCGTGTGCTGCGCCCTGGTACTTCTGGGGCAGCCTAGTGACAGGTACCACCACGTGCCAGCCTGGTCACAAGGCTCTGCTCCAGTGTGGCCATTATGTCCAGGACTTCAGCCCTTCCCCAGCAGAGCTACCTGCTGCTGCTGCTTGGAGCAGACGTGTGTTTTGACCAGGGAAGGTGGAATGAAAATCCCACATGGTGCAGCCTGGATCACCTGTTGGTGTGTCCTTGTTGAAGCCTGAGAAGCTTTTTGCTGACAGCTCCGTGCAGAAACCTGAGCTCCTGCCATCAGGATCCTCATGCAGCCGTGTCGAGGGGACTTTGGCCACTCTTGATTAAATAACCAACATCATCTGAGTTGCTCTTCCCTCCTCACAGCCAGGATCCCAGGCTTTGGTGAACATCTTTGGTCCGTACGAATGTCACACCTTGGTTGAGATGGTGGTTGCTTCCATTTTCTGCTACAGGCAGTTGGGTGGTGGCATCAAACCAAGTTGGTTTTCAAGAGCTTTGCTGGCCTGTCCCAAAGTGCTCTGCAGCCTTTGGGCCATGTTGGGAGTGACAAACTGGTGCTGTTTGCAGGTTCTGGATGTATCTGGGAAGGGCACAAGTGGGTCCCGTGTGGGAGGGAGGAGCCATTTTTGGGTGGGATAAATATCATAAATAGAACTTTCTTTAGTCTTGTTTAGCCCAAAATGAGAAGAAGTTGGAGGACTCTTGGTCATGGGAAAGAGGATGATTTGTGGCTCTGGATTTTGCAGAGTTCCTGATCTCGATCACTGGTGGTTAATGAGCAGGTCTGTGAGCAGGACAACTCTTTGTCCTGGCAGGACAACTTTGATATCAGGGTTTTTGGGGCTCTGTGCTCCAGTGTGGCTGCTCTGAGGGAAGCATTGGACCTCCAGTGGGACCACAGTCCTTCCTGGTGATGGTTGTGATGGTGGCCTGGCTGATGCCGTGGACATGAGAGGCAGAAACCAGTGGAGAGAATTTATTCTGCGAAGTGCTGGAAACACTTCCAGGACTTCTCTTTTGAGCCATATTGTTGTTTCTCACCAGACAGCAGCTCTGAGGGGGTCCAGGGTACCTGTTGTATTGCTCTGTGTGCTCAAGAAACACTTCCCTGGCCACTATCTTGGTAACCCACCACCTCTGGAGGCCCTGGGCTGCATTTCCACAGGCAGGAAGGAGTTCAGAGGGATTTACGAAGCCCATAATACTTCAGCTGAGATCTTTGCAGTGCAGAAACCCCCCTTTCTGTACCAACAAACTCTCCTGTGGTCTTAAGCCAAGCAAGGTGGACATGGTTGTGACACCTGGAATACATGGTGAGCTGTGGGACCTCATCACTTCATTGAGCATTTTTTTAATAAGAAAAGGTCTAAGGTGTTCCCCAAAATGTGTTTTGAGGTCCTATCAAACCTCCTCTTCCTCCTCCACTCCCAGCAACAGCGATTTGACCTGATTTTTGGAGTTCCAGAGCCACTATGAGGTCCTTTCCTCAGCTCTTTGCATGTCCTGGGGTGAGGCTGGCAGGACCACCACTACACCAGCTCCTTAAAACTCAGTTTCTCAAGGTTTCATAAGGCCCTAGCAAACCCCCCACCACTGGAAGGGCTGTTGCCCTCAGGGCAAAACAGATGGTTCCTCCCTCAAGGTCCCAGGGCAGGTGAGTTCCTTCGGTATCGTGGTGAGGAGATAAGGTATCAGCCAGTTCTGCTTCTCCCCACCAGCCATTCCACAAATTGCTGAGCCAAGAGGTGATACTGAACATGACCTTGAGGTGATGATTCAGGCTGCATGTGCTGGGTGCCACCTGGGGTGTCAACCCCTGGCTGAGGGGGCAAGGAAGAAATGGCTGTGGAAGAAGAAACCTGAACCTCTTGAGATGTTTGCCTGTTGGGAGTGGAGTGGGAGGGAGGATGCTGGAGGTGATCCCAGCCCTGAATTCCAGCTGAAAGGCACTGGGCACCAGGGGAAGTAGCAGGAAATTGCTTGTGGGGCCTGTCAGCCCCCACCCCAGCAAAGCTAAGCAGCTGCTGTCAGAGGGACATGATCCATCCTATCATGTTTGGGAAGGGGAAACTGTCAAAATCCTCCTGACAAAGCAAGCTCTGGTAGCTGGTGGAGTCCAACATGGTGGCACCAACCTGGGACTCAACAGGAAAGCAGGTGCAAACAGCAGAGTTTTAATAAAGAAATATCTTAGTAAATAAAAATATGTTTGTAAAATGTATTTCACACTTAAAATACAAACCTTTATTCAGGTTCTTCTTCTAGTAGAGTTTAGGAACCTTGGGGACTGACCTTCCATGAGGATTACGTGGTTTATGGAACCCTGGGACAGGCTGCCCAGAGAGGGTGTGGAGGCTCCTTCTCTGGAGACTTTCCAGACCTGTCTGGATGCCTTTCTGAGTGACCTGCCCTGGTTTTGGTCCTGCTCTGGCAGGGGGTTTGGACTCGGTGATCTCCAGAGGTGCCTTCCAACCCCTGACATTCTGTGATTAAGAGTCATGGCCACACAGGAAGCAGCAGCTGTCCCATGGGCTGGTCAAGCTGTGTTGAAGCAAAGACAAGGGAAGAAGTCCTGGTCCCAAATTCCTCCTGCCCTGGAGCAGCACAATCCTGGAAGGGTCAGAGAGGCAGGAGCTCTTCAGGACTGAAATAAATGCACTGGAGGAAAAAAAAAAAGCAACAGCTATTATCTCCTTGTGTGGCAAAAATTATTGATTGGTTTCTTATCTTGCTTGACTCACAGGGCTGTGACAGGAATAGTTTTCCAGCTGAACTTTCCAGCTTGAGGCAGGTCTGGAGCTGGGAGACGTTCCTCTAGACGCTGGGACACGCCAGGGATCTCAGGTGAGGTTGGGTGATATTCCCCTGGGATCTCACAGGGCTGGTGTTTTGCTTCTCTTAGTGTCACTTCAGCAGCTGGGTCACTTGGGGGAAGCCAGTGGTCAAAAGGTGTGTGTTGTGCAGGTGTGTCTGAGGCTGGTGCTGGGGCAGGGAGGACCTGGCCAGGTCGTGGGGCTGTGCACCTGCCTGCCAGGTGGGGAGTGAAACAGGGAGGAGGGAAACCCATGATATCAGCTCTGGTGCCACTGGGCAGTTTAGGAGGTGACATTCAGCAGTGGTCATGACTGCTGTAGCTTCCTGTGGGAAAATAAGCTGGTAGAAAGGTCACCTAGAGCAAGTCTGGGTGACCAGCTGGCTCGCTGTTGTTTCTCCTTGTGACCTTTCCAAGACCACAAATGATCATTTCAGCATGAAGGACCTGGAGCTGTTGGAGGGAATCCAGAGGAGGCCACGGAGATGCTGGGAGGGCTGGAGCAGCTCTGCTCTGGAGCCAAGCTGGGAGAGTTGGGGTGTTCAGCCTGGAGAAGAGAAGGCTCCAGGGAGACTTTAGAGCAGCTTCCAGTGCCTGAAGGGGCTCCAGGAAAGCTGATGAGGGACTTGGGATGAGGGCAGGGAGTGAGAGGACAAGGGGGAATGGTTTTAAGCTGAAAGAGGGGAGATTTAGGTGAGGTATTAGGAGGAAATTCTTTGGTGTGAGGGTGGTGAGAGCCTGGCCCAGGTTGCCCAGGGAAGCTGTGGCTGCCCCATCCCTGGCAGTGTTGAAGAGCAGGTTGGATGGGGCTTGGAGCAGCCTGGGCTGGTGGGAGGTGTCCCTGCCCATGCAGGGGGTTGGGACTGGATGGTCTTTAAGGTCCCTTCCAACCCCAACCAGTCTGGGTCTCCATGTTTCTATACCTTAAGGCCTGAGTCTTGCAAAATGAGGAACCCTCAGAGCCAGCCCTGCAGCTGCATCAGGTCACTGGGGCCAAGCCCAGCAGGTCAGGACATCCCCAAGGACAGAGACCCCCCCTGACCAACCTACACAAGGCACCAGGCTTTTGTGGCAGATCCATGGTGTGGTCACTGGCAGAGAGGGATGGGATCTACACTAAGCTTTACCTGCTGAAACATCTAAGGACACATGGAAACTTCCAAAGCTCTTTTAAAGGCTTATTTCCCCCTGGTTCAGATGCTTACAAGAAGGGCAAGAGGCAGGACTTTGCTACAGGTGCCACTTCCCACCAGGCAAGCCCTCAGGTGCCCGAGCAGGATAAGGCAGAGGTCACCAGAGCTTTTATCAGAGCTGGGAATAGCCTCTTATCCCAGAGCTGTCTTTGGAATCATCTTCCCTGTTAATCTTTAACCCAAAAGAAACCTCTGTCCCAGGAGGAAGAGCAACACAGAGAAAGCAACCCCAAAGAGCTCCCTGTGGGATGAAGTTTCCTCAATTAACCCTTGTTTGGGGTGACAAGGTTGTTTTCTGATGTGCTCAGGGTGGGTCAGCAGCAGAAAAAGCTGAAGATCATCAGGCTGCAGCATCTCCCTCAACTGAGTCTGGTGGGTCTGGTGGAAGGCTGGGAGCTTCCCACCCACCCACGGGGCCTTCTCTGCTTTCACAGTGCCAGCACCATGTGTGGGAAGAGGTCCCAGTGCTCCTTCTCCCGCCTGGAAATTATCCTCATTGTCTTCCTGGTCCTGATGATGGCAGTGACCGTGGTGCTCCTCACCCTCCACTTCCTCTCCAAAGAGAGCGATGGCAAGTTGAACTATTTCAGTCCCACTATGACATCCTGCTCCAGTCTGTGTCCAGTACAGGAATTTAAACTCAAGGGTTACAGGGAGAGGGTCCCGAGGGCCACATGCACATGGTCCTCTCACCCACAGGGCAGTTGCTGGTCCCTGCAGCAGGAGCAGGGTGGTCCAACCCACCAGGAGCATCTCTTGGGGCTGGATGCAGAGCCTCAAGAACGGTGGGTGAGGATGGCTGCAAGGGTCCAGGCCACCTCCCTTCCCTCTCTCTGCATGGTGGAGAGGGTCCCCAGAGCCTCTCACTCCAAGCATCACACCAAGGGGCTTCACAACTGTTTCAGCCCCAGCCATGGGGCAGGTGGGTGGCAGGAGCTGCCCAAAATTATCTCTTGCTTCACTGAAGGTGTTTCCATGGGACACAAGGAGCCCCTTCCCAGAGCTGGGTCTCCCCTGCCCTAGATGGGGCATCACCCCACATGTGACCTTCCAGTTTTAAGTTTGATCTCACATGGGATATGTTTCACTTTTTCTTCACGAGGACTTTGCCCCAGGTTGTAGCCCTTGGAGGAGGAGGTGTGGGAAGGTCAGTTTGGATGTGTAGCCCTGTCCACTCCTGACATGTGAGAGGAGAGGAACTCCCTGTGCTCAGTCTGTGGCCATTCTTGGTGTTTCACGTCTCCCCTGTTTTAAGGGACATCCTAAAAAAGGCCAGACTGGGAAACTGAAATGTTCTCCCACAGTCTTGTCTCTACCTCCAGGGATTTGTGGCTCTGGGGTTTCCTGAGATGCAGGCAGGTTTTCTTTAATTGATTTATTAGTAGCCCTTAATGACTTTGCTTCCTTGAGTTTGCCCAGGCACTTCCAGGCACATCCTGGAGAAAGACTTTTGCACCTCCATGATGGCTGGGATGAGACATGATCTCCTTCAGGAGCCCTTTTCCTCACTGCTTGCCTGGAGGTCATTGCCCAGAGCTTCTGGTGATGTGATTTTGTTTTTGAGATCAGGGCACCAACATGGGACATGCTGGAGACACCAGAGTGACATGTGGATGTGCTTCTCTTTCTTCCCTAGTCCTTTTCCTGGTACCTCCTGACATGCCACTTCCTTTTTCTCACTGTAGCTGAGCAGACGTTTGCCCACTGATCTACTGTTTTTTCCCCTTACAGATGCCACCAATGAAAGAGCAAAGTATTTACTGGGTGTAGGTCGAGCTGACTGCACAGGCCCCGTGGCTGAAATTCCCCTGGTGAGTTGGGGGATCAAAGATGGGGTTGGCAAAAATACTGATTTTCATCATCTCTGAGTGGTTTTTTTTTGCAGGCCTTCTGGTTTAGAGGCTCTGCCTTGCCAAACCCTTGCTGTCTTCAAACGTCAGGTGAAATTTCTCTGAGGTTCTGAGCCACCTGGTCTAGTGGGAGGTGTCCCTGGCCATGGCTTGGGGGCTGGAGCTAGAGGATCATGAAGGTCCCTTCCAGCCCACACCATTCCATGATTCACTGTTTCTTGCCATCACAGGACAAGGTGGTTGCAAGGTGGTTCCTGAGCTGAAGGAGCCCTTTCACCTTCTGGCCCACCTACTTAAAAAAACAATTAATATTTTGGCTGCATGGGGTTGATGGAGCTCTCCCTTTCCAGATGGGCTATGCCAACCCGAAGCAGGTGGGCAGGGGGCTTCTCACCCACCTCTACAGCAGAGCCTTCATCGTGGCAGACCTGGATGACGACTCCAGGAGGATAGTGTTTGTCAGCGCTGACATCGGGATGGTGTCTCAGAGGCTGAGGCTGGAGGTTGGTGGCTGGACACGGGTGGTTGGCACGGGTTAGGTTGTCTCTGGTGTTCACACTGGGGTTGAAGTCGTTGCTAAATAACACCCAGTGTTTGCTGGCCATTTGCTGTGGGGTCTCCTTGCAGGATGACCTTGGAGAGACGACGTGCTTTTGGTTCCTTGGAGAGGGGTTTCTGATGGGAATGTTACCATGGATCACAAGTCCATTATCATGTTGCCTGTGCAGCTCTGGTCTCTGGCACCACAGAGGAGGGCTGGAGAGCTGGGGACTCTCTGGGTGATCCCTGATTGGGTGATCCCTTCTCTACTAGTTGGCCACAGAAGTCTTCCCTTTCTTGATATTATTTTAGGGCTCTTGCCAAGTCCAGAGCTTGTGCACACATCTGGGGTTATTGGGTAGCAAGAGAAGAGGGAGGAATAAGATGGTTTGGGAGGGTTTTTTGCAAGGTTTTTTTGCTGATACAAATCCCCACAGCCTTTGGGTGTGAAAAGGGCGTTGTTTTAGGGACACCTGCTTCCTCTTAGGTGCTCAAGAAGCTGAGGAGTGAGTACGGAGCCCTGTACCGGCAGGACAACGTCATCCTCAGCGGGACCCACACGCACTCGGGGCCTGGGGGCTACTTCCAGTACACCCTGTTCTGGGTCACCAGCAAAGGGCTGATCAGACCAACCCTCAACGCCCTCGTCAACGGCATCGTCAAGGTCTGTGCCACCCCAGCTGCTGACAGGAGAGCCCATGAACCCAGGGAAGGGTGCGAGTGGGGGGACGCGTTGGTGGGTTGAGGAGCTGTTGCTGTGACGCTCATGGTGGCACCTCTAGGGTGTTAAGACACACTTGGAGGTGGGTTTCTGCTTCTCAGTGGAACCAGAGCAAAGCCCAGAAAGAAGCCTTGGAGTCCTGAGAAAGGGTCAGCCGCAGGTGGTTTCAAATCATCATCATCATCATCATTTGATAGGATTTTAGCCTACCTAATTAAAAAGCAAAGCCCCCCCCAAATTCCCAAGAATGGGTTAGGGGTGGGAAAAGAGGGAGTTTTTTCCAGGTCACCTGCTTCCATGCATGGACTCCCAGCCCCCCCTCCCTGCTTTGCAGAGCATTGCCATCGCACACCAGAACATGAGGAGGGGAAGGCTCTTCGTGAACAGGGGCGCTGTGGAGAACAGCCAGATCAACCGCAGCCCTTTCTCCTACCTGCAGAATCCAGCCTCTGAACGAAGCAGGTAAAAGCTCCTCCAGCAGGAGGGAAGCCCAGCCCTGTAGAGGACCCTTCAGCTGGGGCCTTGACCCAGCCATCTGACAGCTGGGGTTCCTGGTCAGTCGTTGGGATGGTTGAAAATGTGGAGATCAGGACCCACCCTGGGCACTTGGATGTGTGCATCCCCCAAAATCAGTGGCAGGAGTGAGCTCGGAGGTTGTGGTTGCCCCTCCCAAACATGTGGGGCACTGCTCAGGGCTGTGACCCCAGGCTTTGCTTACAAAGAGTCTTTAGTAGCATTTGAGTCAGATCCTTGCACCATCCTTGGTGCATAAATTTGTGTTGGGAGAGAGGTCCTCTTTCCAGCCCCTGGAGAAGCAGCTCCTAGGGAAGTCTGCAACAGCCAAACTCTTCCCTTCCCTTCACAGCCCTGCTCAGATGCTCCTCTAAGGTCTCACTCCGTGCTGGTGACCTCTGCACCAGCTTCTTCCTTTCCTTGCTCACCCTGGTGGAGTTTTAACACCTTAAATCCGACAGTTCTGGTGCTGATGGGATTTCCCCACTTCACTGTCATCCAGGTATTCATCCAACACGGATAAGGAGATGGTGCTGCTGAAGATGGTAGAAGAGAATGGACAGGAGCTGGGCCTTATCAGGTACTGACCACTGAAATAACTTTTTTTGCTCCAAATCTTCATAAATCACAGTTCTGGGGCAGTTCTGTCTTTCTGTGCACACTCTCCTTCCCATCACCAGCCTCTGCCCTTAGACCATCACTGTCCTCCATCTATCATGGGAGACACAGCAGCACCTGGCCCACCTGCAGCTGGGCACATCCTGGTCCCTGGCATCTGGGGAAGATGACCACAGCTGGAGTTCCCTTTCATGAGTGCACAAAAATCCTCTCTGGGGCTCTACCTGTGCACCTCCAAGCCCATCCCAGCCCTGGCACCTCCAGGACCCTTTGGGGAGCCTCTTCTCATGGTTCTTCTCCTTAGGCCCCGTGTTTTGTGGGAAGTGCCCCATTCCTGCAGGCAGGGTTTATGGCTCCCATCCTATCAACACCTTCATGGGGCCGCACCAAGTTCAGAGCTCAAGGTCAGGCTGATTAAGTAACGTGCAGTAACAAAGCCATAAATTATTTTTCCTCATTTAGAAGTCACAAACAGGAGTCCAAGTGTGGTAAGAGGATGAGGAGGGTTTTCTCCTTTGTAAGAAAGAAAGTGCTTCTTTTTTCCCCCTTTTTTTACACTGGTGATTCCTTGTTTCTTTGAAGCAAGGAAAAAAAAAATAATCCCTCTAAAATATAATTCTCTAGACTCCAGAAAAGAGCAGGTTCAGGGCTGGAATAGCCCTTGGTGGCCCTGATAATGGCAGTGCCAACTTCTTCTGGCCTCAAGACCTGGACCATCACAGCCATGAGGCCTCCTGGTCAGGAAGGAAGAGGATGGGAATCACTCTGCCCTTGTCCATCGACCCCTGGGTACCACCAGCCTGGGTTTGGATGCTCCCAAAGGAAATTCCCACAAGCCATTTGCCAAGATACAGGTTGAAAAAGCCAATTGCCAGTATTCGCCTTGACCAGGGTCTCTCCTGCCCCCTCTGCAGCTGGTTTGCTGTGCACCCAGTCAGTATGAACAACTCCAACCACCTGGTGAACAGCGACAACGTGGGTTACGCCTCCTACTTGTTCGAACGGGAGAAGAACAAGGGGATGCTCCCTGGAGAGGTGGGAAGGGAAATAATCCAGCTGGGACAGGGAGGGAGGGCCTGGCTGGAGCTTTCCAAGGGCGGAGGCAGGGTCTGTCAAACATGGAAACAGGACACTTTGGTTTATTTGCTTTCTTCCATCAGAGAAGGGAAGATTGCCAGGTGTGCTCTTAATTTGCCAAGCTAATAATCAGTGGTGTTGATTTAGACTTCAGAAATGACCCAGGTTTCTTTTGGTTGGACTGTCAGAAGCAGGAGAAAAGCATGTGTGGGATACTTGGTGCAAAAAGGGATCAATATATCTCACCTGAGTTGTGGGATCAAGTCTGTGGTCGGCACCACTTCCCTCGTAGGGCTTCCAGCCAGTGTTGCCTTCTGACTGTCATTCATCCAGAAGATCTGCCACCCTCAAAGTACAGATACAAAGCATTCTTCTCCCTGAAGTGTCAATATGGACATAAACCCATCTCACAGACACTTTGAGCCACGAGGTGATCAAGAGGGCTTCCTGTGTGTATCTTTAAACCCAAATCCTATTTTAATGCTCTGGGCAGAGGAACACGTGCAGTTCATCCCAAGGGAAGGAATCCTACCAGCCCCACTTCCAAGGAGTGCTGCTTGATCTTGATGTTCCCTCAGGTCAGGTGGCACAGCTCTTACCTTTGTACATCAGTCAGGGTGACAGCCTGGCAGAAAAATGTAATCCTGTGCAAGGTGCCACCAAGATCCGTCAACATTGGATCAGTAGCATGAGAAACTGGGGATGTGGGGGGAAGAGCTGCTGCTGAGGTGGAAGAGGTGGATGAAAGAAAGTGGGGTGGATGAAGGAATGCTGCCTGGACACCAAAGTAGTGTGAAGGTTCCCCTGAAATGGCAGTTTTGTCCTATTGCCCCTTGTTCTTCTTGTGCCTGACCCCTGGGACCCTCTGAAATCCCCGTTCCCATCCTAAAAGTCACCTCAGGAATGTTTACCAGCCTGGCTGTGATGCCAGCCTCAGCAGTGGGGAAAGCTGGAGGAGATGTTCCTGATCACTGTGAGGACCTGAAGTTCTTCTCACAGAGTTGTCTGGGTTGGAAGGGACTTCTGAAGGTCATCTAGTCTAACCCCCAGCTACAGCAGATCCCACAGGAACACGGCCAGATGGCTTTGGAATGTCTTCAGAGGAGGAGACTCCACAGCCTCTCTGGGCAGCCTGTCCCAGGGCTCTGTTATCCCACCACGTCTGGTTTTGGCAGGGCCCTTTTGTCGCTGCCTTTGCCTCCTCCAACCTGGGAGACGTGTCACCCAACACCAGGGGCCCGTTCTGCGCCAACACGGGGGACTCGTGTGACAACCCCCAGAGCACCTGTCCTGTGGGGGGGGTGAGTACCTCTTGCTGACCCACCTGGCCTCCTGAGACGGGGAAACTTGGGGTGGGGCAGCAAATCCCTGGGGGGGACTGTTTTGCATGAAGAGGACATTGGAAAAAAAATAAATTACCACCTCTTTTTGGATACATCTTGATGCCTCTTTCAAGAACTTCCTGTGTCTTGTCCTCACACCCCCTGTTTTCTGGTCGTTCAGCCCCAATATGGACTTTTATCTTGCTGCAAAGGGTCTAGTGACCCTGTGCCCAAATTTGAGGTGGCAATTCGTTCCCACAGGGTGACAATCACCCACCTAACGTGTTGTCCCTGCTGGCTCTGAAACCAATTCCTTGACAGGCGACGATGTGCATGGCCAGGGGTCCTGGTGGTGACATGTTTGACAGCACAAGGATCATCGGGCAAAACATCTACCTGAAAGCCAGGGTGAGTGGCATTTTGCTTGACCAGTGGGTGTGAGTTGTTCATCCCAGCACCTTGCACCAGGATTTGGGAATGTTTGGAGGGTCCAGTGAGCCTAAGGTCCATGTTTAGATGCTTAAGGGAAAGTTTCCTGGTCATTCAAGCAGAGACTTCATTGCAGGTGTTGCAGTTTGATGCTTGGTTTGGTGGGTCAATATCCATATCCCTCATTGGTGCCTCAAGTGGATGTTGCTCCTCCCATGCACGTGTCTCAGAGGTGTCATGATGGGAAGAATCCCTGGTGTTGGAGAAGAGGAGCTCAGGGCCACCACCACGTACCACTTGTTGGCCAACGTGGGCATCAGGCTCCCAAACTAAAGCAAATGGGAGTTCAAACATCCAGGGAAGATCCTCGTCTTGCCCTGCTTGACTTTGCATTTACTCAGCTGGTGTCCTCCACCCTGGGTTTCCTGTACATCGCCTGTGACCTTGGGCGCAAAAATCACCTGAATTTACCAGTTTCCCTTCTGCATCTTTGTGTCACGTGAGAGTGGTCAGCAAAAGGGCTGTTTCTGGCACCACTTCAGGGCCAGCAGCTTGTAGGAGCTGGAGGAGTAAGAGCAGAAGGTTTGATGGTGGCTGTTGCCTTTTAATCACAGTTTCAGATGCTGCCCTGAAGTTGCTCCAGGCTGATCATGACTTTCAAGTGATTGTCCCAGTCAGAGTGGCCAGGCTGCATCTTCTGTCCCTTCCTGCAGTTGTGGGAAATGCTGCTAAACCTGTGCAGCCCCTGGCAACACTTTGCACCAGCCTAGGGCACGAGTGCCAGGGAATCCTTCACTGAAGAGCTGAATGTTCAGCCTGGAGCAAAGGAGGCTGAGGGGAGACCTCACTCTCTTCAGCTGCCTGAGAGGAGGTTGGAGCCAGGGGGGTCGGGCTCTTCCCCCAAGGAACAAGGGATGGGACAAGAGGAAACAGCCTCAAGTTGTGCCAGAGGAGGTTCAGATTGGATCTGGGGAACAATTCCTTCCTGGAAAGGGTTGTCAGGCCCTGGCCCAGGCCAGGGGTGGAGTCCTCATCCCTGGAGGGGTTTCAAAGCCCTGGAGATGGTGCTGAGGGACACGGGGCAGTGGTGGCCTTGGCAGGGCTTGGTTAACTTGATGGACTGAAAGGTCCTTGATGATCTGAAAGGTCTTTTCCAAGCAAACCCATTCTCTGATAGCTTAACCATCACATTTGCCATCTTAGCCAACTGTGGTTGGAGTCCAAGTGTTTGGAAGTCACGAATGCAACAAAGTGCAGCTTCCTCATAGAATACATTTGTTTTTTCAGGTTGCTCTAAGATGTGAGAAGTGCCAAAACGTTGCAACTGAGGGGGGGAAAAAAAAGTTGCCATCCTGGTGGAATAGGGGCAGGTTTCAGCTGTGAGAAGAAAGGCACCCATGAAACTGCTGAGCACGGAGTGTCCTTGTTAATTGAGGCAGGAAGAGCTTGCAGGGCCCAGGGAGTGTGGGATCTGAAGATGGAGACAAGAAGGAGGGAGGTTTAACACCTGGAAGAGGCCACTGGAGGCCACTCAGCAGAGTGAGGAGCTCACTCACACAGCTGGATCTCAGCAGGGCTGGGCTCCTGGTTTCTTTTTCCTCAAGGATTTCCACCTTGTGTGTTGTCCCTTAGGAGCTGTATGACCAAGCTGCCCAGGAGATCACTGGAGGCCTCAGCTCAGCCCACCAGTGGGTGAACATGAGTGATGTCTGGGTGGAGCTCAATGCCACACACACGGTGAGAGCAGCAGCTCCTGGGCTCTGGCCAGGAGTTGTGTCCTCACAGCAGGACCTGGCAGCCCGAGGGGAACTCCTTTTTGAAATATGGTTTTAAAATATCTCTCCATCATTACACCCCCATTTCTGATGAAGGTTAAAACATGTAAACCAGCCTTAGGATACAGCTTTGCTGCTGGGACTATTGATGGAGTGGGAGCTTTCAACTTCACACAAGGTAACTGAGGGAGCAGAGGCCAACATGGCTTTGTACAGGTGGGGAGGACGTGGGGCAGCCCCCAGATAGATTCAAACCCCCAGGGTCAGCTAAGAACATCTGGTTGAACCACAGTCTCCAAAGGGATACTTTTTTGGGAAGGTGTGACCTTACAGCCCCCTCAGAAATTTGTCTGTGTTGATAAGAAAGCTCTGCAGAAGGATCTGCCCGTGCTCTGGAGGAAGGAGTGCTGGCTGGAGAGTAGGGAGGAGATGAGCTGGCTTTGGGGCAGCCCTTCCCATTGGTTGTCACCACCCAAAAGCTGCTCAGATGGAGCTCAGCTGGGGCAGAGCTTGGCTTTTCAAACCACCCCAGAAAAGGAGGGAGAATCCACTGAGAAATGTCCTGTCAGGGAGGGAGAAATAATTTTTTCTGGAGCAACTGAAGGAACAAAATTTAAAAGAGGTTTCCCCCTCAAGGTGCAGTAGAAGGAGACCCATTTTGGGATGGAATCCGGGACCAGCTGCTGGGGGAGCCATCCAACAGGACCAAAGCCTGCCATGCACCCAAGCCAATCCTCTTCAACACTGGAGAGGTACAATGAAGTCACTTGTCCTGGTGCCTTTTGGAAACTCTGGGGACTTACCCACCTTCTCAGTGGTGTCTTCAGAGGTTTCTACTGGGCTTTATCTTCCCCTGGGAGCATCTGATCAACTTCTCTGCTTTCCTGTCATGTTTATCCAAGTGTCTGGAGGTTCTGTCAGCTGTAACATCAGCTGATGCCAGACTCACTCATCCACAGGTAGAATCTAACCAAGCTCAGGCTGGAGTTCCCATGGGGTGGGGGTCCCTGGCTCCACCTCACCCCCAGCAGGGCCAGTGCTGCAGCTAGAGCAGGTTACTTAGGATCATATCCAGAAGGGTTGGGGCAGTCCCCAAGGATAGAGATCCCCCCACTGCTTGGGTCCTCATCCCAGGGATGCCCCACTTAGATGGGGAAGGGCTGTTTCTTTGGGCCAGCCTCTGCAGAGCTGCTACCCCATCAGTCCCAGCCCATCCACATGCTCAGGGCTGCTCAGTCCCAGACAGGATCTGGTGTTTGTTCTTGCTGAATTTTCCCCAAATCCCACTTAAAACTTGAAAAGAAAATTGATGCTTCTTTCTGTGTCCAGCTCTGGAGCCCTCAACACAAGAGGGACCGGGAACTGTTGGAGCAAGTCCAGAGGAGGCCACGGAGATGATCCCAGAGCTGGAGCAGCTCTGCTCTGGAGACAGGCTGGGAGAGTTGGGGTGTTCAGCCTGGAGAAGAGAAGGCTCCAGGGAGACCTTAGAGCACCTTCCAGTGCCTGAAGGGGCTCCAGGAAAGCTGGGGAGGGACTTGGGACAAGGGCAGGGATGGATGGGATGACAGGAAATGGATTAAAACTGGAAGAGGGGTGATTTAGGTCAGACATGAGGAAGAAATCCTTCCCTGTGAGGGTGGTGAGAGCCTGGCCCAGGGTGCCCAGGGAAGCTGTGGCTGCCCCATCCCTGGCAGTATTGAAGGGCAGGTTGGATGGGGCTTGGAGCAACCTGGGCTGGTGGGAGGTGTCCCTGCCCATGCAGGGGGTTGGGAATGGATGATCTCTAAGGTCCCTTCCAACCCAAACCAGTCTGTGATATGATTCAGTGATCACCCCCTGGGTGACTTAGAAATTCTGCGTCACACCTGATGCCTCCTGGTTGGATGCTCAACCTCACTGGTCCTATCACCATCCCTTTCCCATGCAGATGAGGGATTTCCAGGTGCTACCCTGACTTCAGTGACCCACTTTGCTTTAAGCTGCCCCTCCAGCAACACCATTTTTTGCCTTACCCAGAGTATTTGCACATTTTTTCTCTCTCTTATGGTCAGACCACTTGCTGATCACCTGGGGGAGGAAACTCTTCCTCCTCTGCCCGTCTATCAAGAAAACTCCCCTGATTTATGGCTGTTTTTTCCCTACCTTTTTTTTTGCTGTCCCCAATAACCACTTTTTTTTTCCCACCACAGATGACTCGTCCACACCCCTGGCACCCTGATGTGGTTGATGTCCAGCTTGCTGCCATCGGGTCCCTGGCTATTGTTGCTGTTCCTGGAGAGTTCACGTGTGTCCCCCCCTGGGATTGCTCCATGCAGGGCAAGGAGCAGCTGGTCCTCCAGCCTCCCAGCCACACTCTGCAAGCAGGCAGGGCCTATCGAGCCAAAATTGTGCTGGAAAGCAGCCATGGAAATGAATGAGCTGTGAAGAAGCTTCCCAGATCCTTTCAGCTGTTGGTTGGAAAAGGAACAAAAGGAGGAGAAAGGAACTGGGAGATGGTTTGAGGTGTTTGGGTTGAGCTCATGGCCCTAAGAGGTGCTGAGCTGTGTTGTTTGGGGTTGTTTGGGCTAGAGGAGGAGGCTGAGGGGAGATCTTGTTTCTACAACTGCCTGAAAAGAGGCTGGAGAGGGGGTGGGAGTTGGTCTCTTCTCCCATGTAACCAGTGATAGGACAAGAGGCAATGGCCTTGAGTTGCAGCAGGGGAGGTTCAGCTTGGGTACTAGAAGAAATGTCTCTATTTAAAGAGTTGTCAGACACTGGAACAGAGGCTGCCCAGGGCAGTGGTGGAGTCACCATCCCTGGAGGTGTTACACAAATGTGTGGATGTGGCACTTCAGGACGTGGTTTAGTTGGCAGGAGGGTGTTGGGTTGACGGTTGGACTTGATGATCATAAGATCTTTTCCAACCTCAATGATTCTATGATTTTGTGGCTTCTGGTGGTGTGTCCAGCCAGTGATTCCTGCTTCATCCTCTTGCATTCCTGGAGACTGACCTTCTTCCCTTCATGCCCCTAGGACCATGTCTGGACGCAGGCTACGGGAAGCCGTTAAAAAAGTAAGTTGCTGAGGAAGAGCTTTTTCCAGGACACAGCATTACCTGGAGCTTCACCTTTCTGGATCCTTCTGTTTTTTTCCCTTGCCTCCTCAGATGTTTCTCAGGTGTTTGCTTCTCTCAGTTGCTTCAGACACATTTTGCATGTGCTTCCTGACACGCAGGAGAGATGAATATCTGGCCCAGAAGAAGCAAAGTGATGGGCTTTCAGCCTATCAAGCCAACACAGGCTAAATCAGCTGGAATCCATGAGTAACAGATACTACCAAGACTTTAGTCTCTGAGGGTTGCTCCTCAATCACCACCAGAATTTTGCAACACGAAAAAAATTGAGAAAAAAAGTCTTTTTTTCCATTTTCCTGATGGATACATCCTGTTCTCAGCTGCAGCAGGGATCCCAGTTTAATCTCAGTCTCCACAACTCACTGAGCTCTCAAATATCACCAGTTCATTTTCCTGAGAATACAGACATCAGCAACAGAAAAACCCACCCAAATGTGTGGAATTTACTAGAGTAGGAGGTAATTTCTCCCTTTTTTTTCCTGCAGGAAGTGAAAGATGTTCAATAGGCAAGTTACCTTTGTAGGGTTGCATGGGCATGACTTTGTGTTCTGTCCTGATCCATAATAGACATAGTAATGGTGGTGGTAGTAATAACAATGATGATGTTACATGATAAATGGTTTATTTCCTTCCCTAGGAATTTGATTCTCATGCTAAACCAGGAATGGAGGTGGTAATTGCAGGCCTGTGCAATGTCTACACCCATTACATCACCACCTATGAAGAATACCAGGTAAACAGTTAAAAATGTGGGTTGAACTTGCTTAGCTGGGTTCAGATTTTGGCTCCATGGGATGATAATTCCTATGAAATGATGGATGGTCAGCACACTTTTCTGTTGCCCTGAAAATCTTAACAATCTGTGGCAGAAATCCTTGTTCACTCTGGCCTAGGTGACGTGGTCCAAGGGCCAGTGTGGTTTCCTGACCGTAGCTAGAGACCACGTGTGGATGCTTTAACCTGGGGAGATGTGCTGAAGGGAGGTCCTGTGAGCTCAGACCTGTTTTAGTAATCTCCTGATGACTTGGATGAATTAAAAATTGTCTTGATTAGTTGGCAAAATGGCCAGCAGAAAGACTGTAGAACCATAGGGGTTGGAAGTGACCTCTGAAGATCATCCAGTCCAACCCCCCTGCTGCAGCAGGAACACCCAGGGCAGCTCACACAGGAACGTGTCCAGATGGGGCTTGAAAGTCTCCAGAGAAGGAGCCTCCACAGCCTCTCTGGGCAGCCTGTCCCAGGGCTCTGTCACCCTCACAGCAAAGAAGTTTCTCCTCACGTTGAGGTGGAACTTCCTGTGTTGTCACTTGGTGCCGTTTCCCCTCGTCCTGTCACAGGCACCACTGAACAGAGACTGGCCCAGGACTTGGAGCTGGAGGGTCTTAAGGTCAACATGACTCATAGTGCCATGTTGCTGTGGAGCAAAGTGCAGTCCAGCTTGCAAGGCCCAGTTCTAAGAGTCCCCACAAGGCATGGCAGTGCTCTGCTTTGGGGAAGGTGTGGACCATTGGATGAACTCCCTGGGTTTACAAACCCTAAACTGGGAGGGCATGTTGGAAGAACTGGGGTTGTCCCAGCAAGTTGGAGAGAAGACCTAGATCATAA